ATCAACAACTTGTTGCAAGTTGATATCGACAGGCGTGAACAAGGTTGTGCGGCTCACTATGAACAGTACTGTCAGCCTGTTCTTACAACATTGTTCAACTGTAACAACTTGGAACAACATGGTTGACAACTTGTTCATAGTTGGCCGCACAATATTGTTCACGCCTGTTGATATCAACTTGCAACAACCTGTGCGAGTTTAGCCGTGACGTATCGTAGCATTTTCTCTTTTGTCGAAGTCATTAGTTCCACTTAAGTGTTCAAGTAACAAAGAGAATACATGAAAATGCAAGGGGTTAGCCTGTTAGCTTATACCTTTTTTTTAAAAAAGATGGCTAAAATCAATGAAAAGTTAAGGGAGAACCCCCTTTATTATATTCTTTGCCACGTTTTTAAAACTGAAGTGGCTAAAAATAGATGAGATTAAGGGGTTTAGCCTTTACTTTTCGCCCATTTTTTAAGGCGATGAAAATGTAAGGGGTATTAATAGCCTTTATTTTTTCACATTTCTGAAAATAAAATAGCGGCTAAAATTGGATGAAAAGAAGGGGATTTTCTATTTCTTTTTTATTATAAAAATGGCAATAAATATAAAGTGTATCCACGTATCCCCTAAAATTCGTACAGTTTTCCACATTCGCCCTTAACACGTTCCAAACCGTAGTGCATTTTATAAAGTTTGGCAGCACTATTAGTATTAATTAATTCCACCAATAATTTAGAACATTTGTAAAAGTACAAAGATGCAGTGTTCTGGGAATTCAACCCAGAAACGAGTGAGTACTGAGGTTCTTTGGAATTGTAAGACTACAACAGCAAGTTGTATGGAAATTTGGCATTCCACTCATTCGACAATTTTAATTTATGAATAACAAAATAAACAGCAATTTTGCATGAATTTCACCGAAATATTTATGGTAAAGTCTATGACTTTCATTTCTGAAACTGTTCTTGACTTTTGATTAACGTACGTACCGAATATTTGCAGGCAAAATTCGCACTATGGAAAAGCAATAAAGCTTCTGAATACCATGCAAGTAGGGAGCCATCAAGATGTTACTTATTTTCAGATAACTTCATATTGCAGAAAATTTAACCTCGGTGACAGAAGGTAGAGGGGCACATATACACTAACCACCTCCCTCCTCCGCAGAGCCCCACCTATTCCCCAATAACTTGCATGAAGTTTTCCGACAGAGTAAAGCGATACCTTCAGCCAAACCGGGGACCAAATTTAATATAAAAAACTTTTATTCCATTCTATTCGAACAACAGTACTCAATTCGTCCCGAACACGGACACCGTTTTTTGTTTTGGATTTTTAGATTTAAGTCAAACGAAAAATAATAATCACCCGAGGAAAACCAGAAGTGCCATTGACAGTCGCTGACTCGCTGGGAATGGCAAGATCTGGTGAAAAACCTTGGCGATTATGAATGCCGGATTCCGAAATCCCGGGGGAAAGACCCTTGTGCCGACGACCGAAATACTACAATATACATAACTACAATATACCATACTTACCCATACCTACCATTGTTGGATTGTAAGTCAAATTGTCAAAAAAAATAAAAATCTTGCAAAAAATTAAATTTCTTCAATGAATGCGTGCAAAAACATTGTAGACCACCCGAAAATTGAGTCTACAAATTGCGCAAGACAAATATCGCTTTTGTGGGTGCAAATTGCTCCACTAAGGTATATTCATCTTAACCGTAAAACCTGAAAATATTTCAAATATGTCCAGGACACGGTGCGTGGCAAATGGATCCGATGGTCCAACATATTTTACGGCATTTTGCCATTGTAAAAGCTGTTCGGTCACTTGGATACATTTTAAGTATGTGTGCATTCTTGATTTTAATTTGCTTTTCGCGCATTTATTTTGCCTTCATCGCCCGCATCAACGCGCGCACTTAATTTTAATCAGCATGCACTGAACATCATGCCCCTAATTTACTAAGCATGCAGCTAAGCGCGTTTAATGAGCATGAAATCTCCGCGCACTCAATTCTGATCAACATGCACCTTATTTGATTCTTGAAAGCACACATCACTATTTGCGTATGAAGTACACTCAATATGACTGTACTACGCATTGCAAGAGCACGCGCGCGCTGCTTATGGTAATGAGCTGCGTTCGACCAAGCTTATGTATGAACAAGGTAAGACAACGCGGAATGCAACATGGCAAACATTCTACATTGTTATGGCGACCATGCATAAACTTGGTCTGCAGAGTATTTTCATGGCGGCTCTGTTTGGGGACAAACTGAAGTACCGAAATTCAAGTAAACAATTGTTTTAAACCATTTGTCCGTCAACAAAGCAACACAGTGAAAACACCCTATTTTTCCTGGCGGTCTTTTAAACTAAAAACTTATGGTAGAACTTATAAGCGCGTGTAATGCATTAGCAACCTAAAGAAACGAGCCCGTCTCCAACTTTGGAGCTAGAACTACGTTTCTTATCGTTAAGCCCGTAATCCAAGAAATTTTACGCAAAAATATTCTTTTTTGTTTTCTTTTCTGCAGCAAGTATTCCTGGATTATCATTGCTTATATTCAAAGTGGCTTCGCGCTTTTATATTCTTGTTTCACTTTCATTTTTTTCGCAATTTTTCATTTCATCTTTTTTTTTTAATTGCATTTCTTGCCACTTTGATTTGATTACTACAAAGTATTTTCAGCAGCAAAACAGACTCCATTTTTCTGCTGTATTTAATACTTCACAGTAAGTTTCTGGCGCAAGCATGCCGAATATTATTTTGCTTTGTGACAAACATCATGCAAGTAAAGCTTTTGATCCGTAAGTCCAGATCTCTAACAGTAAATTATTAACGCCTTATTTCTAGCTGCCTGACCTTCCTAACTAGTGCACACGCGCAATATCATCTTTCAAAAACCTGCAAGGGAATGCCTCTGAATGTGGAGTCTCGGTCATGCCCTTAGCTTAACTTAACTTAACTTAACCTAGTGTGCCATCGCACCTGGTGAGCTTCCACAAACAGGGCCAAGGTTAGCATGCCTTATGTTAATGTCTTCCAAGAAGTCGTTGAGTCGCCATGACAGAGAGGGAACCTAATCTCTGGTAGCGAACTGTTTTCATATAACCTGGGGGCAGAAAACTAGCGTTCGAAACCAGCGATATACATGCACTGTGGGCCATGAAACTCTCCAATTTATCATCTTTAATAAAGCCTAGACTATTTATCTTTACAACAATTGTATTTACAGTCCTAAGCTAATATCCACCAGTCCACTTTCAAATGGGAAAAAACCGGAGTACCCGGGATCTTCTCAAGACGTCTTTCCCAAAAGACAAAAGGTCCACCACGATATCCACCAATCTTCTTACGGGTACCATTTGCACCCTCTAAGCTATGGATACCATTTGCATCCAGTTTACATTATCCTCAAGGAAAACTATGCCAGATTTCAGTATTTTCAACTTGTACCAAAATTTTGGCTACACCCATATGTTACGTACACGGATGTATAGATCATGTAATGGGTTAAGGTTACGGTTATAGGGTTAGATTTAACCCCAACACGAAGCCCAACCCATTCCATGACATTTCTATATATTCATGAACGTATAACATATGGATGGAGTCAAAATTTTAAAATCTGGCAAGGTTTTGCTTGTCTGCCTATTCTATATACTAAGCGCTGCGTTTATCCATGCACAGACACCTAAGCAGTACATTTACACAGAGAGGAGAACATTTGGCACGAATAGACCGCGAATAACTAGTGGGTTTCAATACGAGTTACTAGAGTGAAAAATAATGTTCTGACTCTTCTCATTTTATGAAGTAGTCTTGTATTTGGAGCCAAATTAAATAATACAGTGAGTTCCAACATTTCCAAGGTTGACAATGATATCTCTTCTGCAACACTTACTGAAACCCACCAATAACCGAACCGAGTGCATGCAACTACCACGTGACCGAAAGCTCAAATGTTAACCACTTTAAGATTGACTTTCGATTGCAGATAATATCGAGATTCTGAACAACAGTTTTGAGGTCAAAATTGTACCTCGATTTATTAACATGCAAGCATCTGAATAAAAAATCAATCTTGTGTGCAAATGTACTGCTAACGACAGACCGCCAGGAATTTTAAATTAGTTTAACCCAGAGACTTCACCGAACGCATGCAAATTAGAGTCCTGGGTACGAATCTAACAGATATACTGCCTGTTAGCAGGCAAACTACTGCATGAACCCTCTAACCTTGAGGCAGACCTCTCTTTAACCGTTGCGCAGCTTGGTAGGTAACCGTCAATGGCGAAGTACATTTTATCCACAAATGTTCGTAGTAATCCATAAGTATATATAGTAACCATCAATGTTCATAAAAATCCATAAATGTTCACAGTTTCTCCAATTGTGTACAGTAATCCACATTTATCCATTAATATCCACTACGACTACTCCTGGGCCTCCCATCCGACACCACAAATGACGTTTAACTTTGGTCAGTTTTGATTGTTTTGTCAAAATTCGTCAATACAATTATAGTACTTGTGAGCAACACATCAATTAGTCAAAAATCATGAAACTCTTAAAAGATTAAATCTCAAAGAATGTTTATATCAAAGATATTCAAGCCAAAATCCCAAAGTCTGCATCAAAATGACAACGGAAAAACGCTGGATAAAGCCATATAGATAAACAGCAGGCCACAAATCAAGGTTTGGTGGCATTTCAGCTCGATTTTTTGAGGCCCACAGGCGAGCTGTCCCAATCTCATGCCAAGAACAAAAAGCACAGACGCAAAGTTGGCCAGACTTTACATTTGCGCTAGTTGATCATGACAATCGATCGGAGCAACTCGACTGTAGGTCGGAAAAAGCCGGAGCAGAAGTGTCACCAAACCTTGACGAATGGCCAGCCATTCATCCAACATGATTTCATCCAGTATTTAAACCAAATATCAAAGTGATGTAAATTTTAAAATCTCCGTTCAAATATCTTTCAAATAAACAAAAACTCCCAGATAAAATCTTCCGAATTTCAAAACTTTTCGATTTCATTAAGAGCTTCTCACAAAAACTAAGAAATGTGAAAAAATTGTCGAAATCATCGAAAAAAGCGCCAGGTTTAAATTTGTTTTGTGCAAATGAGCGTCCTCAGGGTGGCCCCACGTATTTTCGAACACGACTAACGAGAATCTGCAATGAAAGAAATGAAAGCATACATAAGTCACAGAATCCGATGGACCTACAGTCAGGGTCGCGGAGAGGTTGCGCGAGGACTGGGGCATAACTTTTCAAGCCCCCCCTATGACGTCATAATCGTAAAGGCAGAAGCGGTGTTTTACACTATATATATATATACATTTTATTGCATATTATGCGACGCTAACGCAACTAGGATTTATATTCTCAGTTAAGCAATGATCTTCTATCTAAACATTTAAAGGCCTTCGTCGCTTTTGGGGCCCTTTTTGAGCTGGGGGGAGGGGCCCGGGGCAAAGTGTCCACCCCCGTCACCTTTGGGCGGCCCAGCAGTTATCAGAGTGAGAAAGTAGTTATTTTAATACAGGCAGCTGCCCGGCAAACCGCAAGGAAATTTACATTGTACATACCTTGTGTATTACAACGTTGTTGCAAGTATTGTAGGCGAAGTAGTATGCATCGATGCTTCACTTCTCAGACAATGATGCGACGTGCTGTCAGTGTCTCTGGTTAGCATCCCTGGATGGCACAGCGCCGGTAGTACTGGTAGTGGATTGCAGTCTTTACATCAACTGTTATATTTGCCCATTACTGTCACACGGAGGTTTTTGTGCGTTAGTTACAGTCTCCGATGCATCACCAGTTGCGACTTCACACCTCATGCGCGAGTAGCGATCCCTCCAAATTTGGCACAGACGAAATCGGACGATGAATGCCTAGGTCTAGACTGAGACTAGCTGGTTTTGTCGTTCAGTTGTTGTCTTTTGAATGCAATGCTAATGTCTCTTCCAAAGCAAGATGATTGGTCTTGAGGCTGCCTAAAAAGTTTGGAAAAATAAACTTTTGTCAATTTCAATGTTTCACAGTCAATGATGATCTATTTAGAGTCGTGTCATCGCAAGCATCGGACCAATCCCAATCGCAGAAATCGCAACCATGCTATTTTTACGAGTCTTGCGACGTGTCACTTGCGATATTTACGATTGAATGAAAACTAGCTAGGCTTTAAAGAGGCAATGTCACAGATTTTTGACCTAAAATGCCTTTTATTCAAAAACTGAACTACAAAGTTAAAAATAAACATTGTAAATGGATTAAGTTATGATATAGGAGTCATATTAAACAACTTTGAACTTCCACGCAACACGTAACATGACATTTTCATAAAAAATTGACTAAAACTTGAAAAAGTGTCCGCCAACAATTAATGAAGATGCCATTTACAATCCATCTCAATCCTGGCGTAATCTTGCCCATCCAGACTTCTGTCCATGTTTTTTGTGTCTGTTATTGCTTTATTTTGTGCTTACACTCATTCTTTTTCAGTTTTGGGCAAAATTTGCGAGGGTTAAAATTGCTCAAAAATCGGTGACATTGCCCCTTTAACTAAATATTCCCGGCCCATCAATTTATCTGAAAAAATTCGTGCATGCATGCTGTCAGAAGCCACTTGACCTTTTAAATTTCATCAAAAAAAATTCGGATTAAATTCAACTTAGAAATTCTCAAAAAATTAAAAGTTCAACCTTTTCCTCTCCGACACTATTTTGTACATAAACTACAAACAAGCTAAAATGTTTGGAAATATATGCGTCATTGAAAATTCCGATCCTGAAATATATGGATCCGGCATTTCCCACGAGTTACCAACGCTAAAATTTTCACCAAAGCCGCAAAGTTTTACTAAACTTAACTCAAATTTTCGGTTCTAGCCGAGTAATGCTACGAAATATTCTATAGTTGGGTACGAAAAAGTCCAGAAAGCGAGCAACAAACAAGAAGTATGCATGTATAATTAAACATGCCTAATAAAATGATTCGGAATTACACTCAATATATAATACGGATAAAATTTTCAACACATTTTCCGACTAAACATAACTCAGCGCGTTCGTGAGGCTTCAACAGTAAAAGTTGTACAAGGGAAGCTTAAAAAAGAGCAATAAAAAAAGCAAAAACCTCTAATGGCGCCCATATGCTTACCGCGTGGTTCGAGCCTTCGTCTTTGACATATGTCGACGACTTAAATCAGTTCACTTTCTCGTCAATTCTTTCCTCTGAAACCGCAGATAAAACAAATATGAGTTACATGAATTAAAGCAGAGATATTTCTGCACATTACTGCTAGAAAATGAGCGAGAAATACTAAGGAAATGAAGCGACGAAGCGAGAACCAGGGGCGCTTGAACGCGAAGCGAATTCAACGACAATGAATAGTTGTAGCACGCGTTTTAACTTTTAACTTCCAAACAACACTCAATAACTTAACAAAAACAACTCACAAACGTTTAAAAGATGTATAAATTTAATACTAACCTTTCCTTCAGCATAGTATGACCATTTTACTTCGAAAATATCGTTGAAAAGCGAAGTTCTGCATGTTCTTTCAATATGTGCTTTGCTGAACTTCGAGTCAAAATGACGCCCCGAAGCCCCGAGCAGAAATTTTCAAATTTGCCACGAATTCATACCACACCCTTGCTTTCTGTTGGTCAGATTTTCACGAGCTCTGATTGGTTCAGCTAATGTAACCTTTGTTATGATTGGCTATTGCCAAAATCATCTATTCGTCTGAACTCCCTTGGGGAATTAAATTCAGTCGCCAGGAATGTTTTAATAGAGCGTTTGCACATGACGTCACAGCCGCCATGTTGGTATTCCAATTCAAAAGAATTTTAATTAGATTCTTTTGTCTGGACGACTGGAGACACCACCAACATGGCCGCCATAGCTTTTGTTGAGTTGGTTATTGAGACTCGTGAAAACGGCAAAACCGCTTGAGAGCAGTGGAGCAAAATTTTAAAAGTGTATAAAATTTATAAATATATCGCAAGTAGCGAAACATTTGGTTAAAGACTTAAAGTTTTTCTTTTTTGTGAAATTTTAATTCCCCCCCCCCCGCCACGCAACCTCGCAGACGTCTAGCTACCCACCCCCCGGTCATGTTGATAATTTATACGTGGCGTGTTCACAACAAAACAAGAGTGAAAGGGAGAAAAATTTGCATTTTAGATTTATAAAGAACGTTTATTTTAACCTGTGATGGGCTGAAAACCTAAAGAAAGCTTTATATTTGTCGTGGTTTCTTGTCCAAAGAACAAGAACGGCCCGAAAGCTTTTTAATTAAAAAGTAGATTCAGGCAACACGAGACGATATACGGTATTAAATTTGTGACAGGTCGTGTTTATAAGTATACTATTTAGAATATGGATGGCGCAGGAGACGGTGGGTTTGATCCTTGCGAATGTATATGCAGTTATGATGGTGCGATGAGGCGTCTGATTTCTCTGGTATGTCCTCTAAATTAGAACTAAAATTATTTTGTCTGTTAATATCTAAACGAGGAATGGTCATGATACAGAAATTTTCTTGAAATTGGATCCTATATGTATAAAATCATCAATAACATTACGTTTGTTTTGATGGTATTTCTTGCTGTATTTAATAACGTTGTGTGTTTTTTCCTCACAATTTAGCTGCGAAGTTCGCAAAGCTACTGTACGGATAATGAGTGCTTTATGGAACGTAAGTTTGAATTTTCATTCCCTCTATAATGTTTACATTTTGCATACTTAATAAATATACTGAAATAAATTTATATACGGTATTTTGGTACATTTTTGGCATACTGTTTCAACTGTTATAAGTAGAATTTCAATATCTTGGGTGTCTTTGATAACATTAAATAGAATCTTTAATTCTTTATATCGATATTATGTTATCTCAATTTTAGCCTTCTGGAACTATGTTTTTGCCATATAAGTAGAACAGGTGTTTACATTTTGCCATTTTAATTCATTATCTACATTCATTATTTATAATTATTCATTTTACCATAAGTTTTCCAAACAAGGACTATTTTTATTGTGAAATAATCTTCTGCCATTTTTGTTGTTTTCAGGACACTTTTCAAAGTGCGGTTGCCAAGTTTGTTTTGAATATTTCCAACTATGTTTCCAAATTTGAAATATTGGGCAAATTACATTAAGTTTATGTTCAGCACTTTGGTACCTTAGTTCAGTACTTTAGTGAGCATCTTGCAAATCTATGCCAAGTTTTCATATGACAAAAATTTTATTTTGTGTTAGACAGAGTAAATTAATAAAGTTGTGTGCATTTGGGCACAATGCAACTTGATGGATTCATGAACTATCAGTTAGATTTAATTTGTATTATAGCATGACTGCGCAGAGATTATGTATACAATCCCGGGGCTTATATATTTATATATATAATCCGTGGGCTATAGTGAATTCATAATTGCCTAAAGAGGCATCTACAAACTCAAGCCCCTAATCTCCTTATCTAAATAAACGCTGTACATCTCTAGACGAGAAAGAGACTACCAGTCATGCATAAGGCCCATCAACTGATGCATTCAGAGGATTGACTTGATCAACAGTCAAACTTCACATGTTCAACCAGATTCCCACAGGCGTAAGAGTTGTTTTGGGAACAAACCCTCACCAACTGTGCAGAAGTCAGTGCTCAAACATCGGCTTTAAACCAGATAAATATTAAACCCCCCATTCTCGCAACCTAGGGTTTTTTACCATTCTCGTTGTTCAATCTATATTTGTATGTTTTGTAGCTCCTGGTCCTCAGGGGAATGATGGAAATGGTGGTTTCAGTATAATGTTTGTTTTGATGGCATGGTTGGTTGCTGCTGTCATATTGTTCCTGCTTAGACCACAGAACATGAGACAGTCTGGAAGTGAAAAACCCTCAAACCAGGTAGGTAGACTTGTCTTTAATATATATTTCCACCTTATTTTTAGCTTTCAATTTATATTCTCATTGTTTTGGCCCAAATAATGAAAATTATAAACTGATGTGCTTTCTTTCTTTCTTTCTTTCTTTCTTTGATTTAATTAATTAAAAATATTTGCCTACTTTTGTATAATGTACATTATGTTATATTAATTTTATTTTGATTTATCTAGGGTCAAGGACCTCCACCACCTGCTCCACCAATACAGTGATTGACAGTGGAATAAATTAACCCAGGCTTGAATAGAATGGTATTTCGTAGTATTCATTGTAAAGCAATACTTATAGCTGATACAAGTAAAATAATATAATATGTGAATATTATCTACTTATGTATAGAGTATTTGTAGACACACCATGCAAGTTTGTACAATGTATATTGTGTAAAAATATGTATTTACACTAATTTGTAGCCATGTATGATTGATTGTTTATAGTCACAAGAATAATTATTTGCAATTACAGTCTGCAGAGTTTTCAGATTCATGAACACCGACCGGAATTCAATCGATACCGATAACCGCTCTTGTTTGAAATCATGAACGTGAAAGTACATTAATTTGATTGCCGTTCCTGATTGCAAGTAAGAACTACTGACGTCATATATAACGGCTCGATCGATTTCTTGTTGGTGTCTATGTCACAGATTAGAGGATTACAGGGCATAGTCCTCTAATCTGTGTTGTCAAAAGAGTTACTAGTCTTAGCTTTGAAATTGTCATGCTTTAAAATTGTGTTTATAAAATTGTGACTTCTTTCCGAGTTTCATGGCCAGTTTCATCCAATGTTTCGGGAACAGGGTGGTTCAGTGTCTCTGGTAAAAATAGGCCAATTAATCCGGCAAAGATGCCACTTCCAGCAAATAAGATCATTGGTAATCTTTGATCCATTATGGCCAGCGTAACAACAACTGGTGCCAATATACCACCCAAACGTGCAGTCATTGAACATGTACCCATCGCAGAATTCCGTACGACGGTCGGCACAAGCTCGGCGGAGTACACATATAATATTCCAAATGAAGAAGACATGCCAAATTTACCAACATTTGCAGTCACTGTAGCAAACTTTGCTGGCCCGAATGCGCAAACCAGACAACCGATAGATCCGAACATTAGGCTAAGAAACAGAGACCTTTGACGACCTAAGTTATCGATCATTGGAACGGCAAGGAAATATGAAGGAACCTCAACCAGGCCAGAGAGAAAGAAATTCCAATACCTATCCCCTTCCATATTTTTTGAATTAAATGACAATCCATAGTAGACCATACAATTGATGAGCCATATAAGCATTAGTATAACCATTTTAGAACGGAGGCTTTTGTGCGTTAGCAAAGTGTGTATACCATAATTTTCTGACGTTGATTTTCGCTGTTGATGTTTGGTTCGTGTGAGACGTTTGTCAAACATTGTGCCATTTTTTTTCGCAATTTTTTCAAGAATTTCTTCGGCTTCAGAAATTCGGCCCTGGGCCAAAAGCCAACGTGGCGATTCAGGAACTGATTTTGAAAAGGCCAGTATGTACAGGATTCCTGGTAAGGACACAGCGATTGTCAATTGACGCCAATCACGGAAAAAGTATGCCATCATGGAAAAGAAGCCAAAACCAAGAGCATAAAATATTTGAGAAATTGTCATCACTTGTCCTAAAAAACAACCTGGCTTTAGAATACAATATCCCCCAGTTTGTTATCAACTCTCAGCCTTCGACCCATATATTGCACGTAACGGTGTGGCATTGTGGTGGCGAACAGGTATATCAACACTTAGAATCGGCATAGCTCTTTCAGTGGCAATGTGCCCTACTTTATTATTTTCTCTGTCTAACGCCAGATGATTTTACTCGTCAGGGGGAAGTGCTGCCACTTAATGGGTTAACTACTTTGAGGTCAATCTGGGGTTACAGTAGTGCCAATAGAGGCATTCCGAAAAATGTTGATCAATTCATTTCCTAACTTCCTGTTTCACTGACCAATCAGATTTTATTTTTGAGCAATCTGATTGGTCAATGAAACAGGTAGTTAGGAACTTTTTCTAAAGTTGTTTCTCTTTAGATTTTTTTCAATTTGGTTAGAGTAGGGGTAGGGTTTGTTACATAGCCATTTAACACCTCTTCTATCTTCCGAAAATTACGTCATGTCAGTTTGGTGGATGGAAACAAGTGCCGTCCCCCCTCGAGTGGCTTACCTCGGTACGATGGTCCAATAATTTCGGTCAAGATAACAAAACAAGACATGTTTCCCCCGACGACAACTAATCCGCAGAGGAAGCGAAGCAATAAGAATTGTGTATAACTTTGTGCGAATGCGGTGAATATCCCGAAAGAGAAAGCCACAACTTGTGTGACTATTGCGACATATCGTCTACCAATTCTATCGGATAATTGGCCTGCAGTTATCACGCCAATCAAACAACCCATCATCATTACAGATTGACCCATATTTGCCTTGTATTCTTCATCACAAACTAAATTCCATTCGGTAACCACACTTGTAAATTCCTTATCAAACGTGATTTCCCTGCAAGCAGAACCGTTTCTAAAGCAGGGATATTCCTTGTTGTCATCAAGATATCGCCTCGCTACATTTGAGCAATGCCAACGTGGCTTATCTGCGACAAACACCAATAAAAACATTTGACAACATTGAAAAAACGACACACAGTTCAGGATTAGATAGACTTTCCTTTGAAACGGTCCGAATTCACCAATACTCTTTAAAATATTGTCATACTCCATGTTTTCCTGGCAGAAATCGTAAATATATGCATTTACTTGCTATTTTACTGGGAAAATACAGAACACAATATACTTTTGTTGTTTTCAAAATTTTTTAATTCGCGCGAGGACCCCCCGCGTGTCGAGTTCCAAACGTTGGGCCCAGTGAGCTCTATATATACTGGAGCAAGAATTTCAGTTAGTTTGCCCTTCTTCGAGCGCAAAACCGTTCATCCTCAACGGACTCAACGCTCTATATGTTACACGCGTAAAAATCTCATATCTTGTAGCAAGTCTACCAACAAGCTGTCAACAAGTTGTGTTCGCACTGCTTGTCCCAAGTTGTCAACAAGTTTGGAACAAGCTGTTAACAACGTGTAAAAACCTTGTCGAAATTATCAGACTTGTTGCAAGGTTGTTCTAACAAGTCCGATACAGTCATGATATAACAATACTGTTACAACCTTGTGTCGTCAATATTGTAACATTCTTGTTATATTGTGACTGTATCAGACTTGTTAAATAGAACAACCTTGTAACAAGTCTGATAATGCCATCAAGCTTGTTACAAGTTGTTAATAGCCTGTTCCAAACATATCTATGGTTCCAAACTTGTTACAACAACTGGGAACAAGCAATGCGATCACAATTTGTCGACAGCTTGTGAACAGATTTGAACCAAATTCATGAAGTGCTGCAAATTGACACGCTTGGTATGGTAAATCCATCACCTTTCCCAGCCACTTTAACTAAGTTAGGTTTCCTTGCGCACATTGGACAACACTTGTTTCTAGTCTCCGATGATCTCATCCATATGATAATATTGTGTCTCTCACCAGAGTGGATTGGTAGGGCGCCATGCATTTGTTGTCCGCGATGTAAAATACCATAGCCTTGCCGGTGCTCTATTTCTGTGCACTCACTTCCAGATAATGGTACCTTGATCATGTAACAAAAATAATTCATTTGAGACATTAGCCATTTTCACATTAGAAGACGGACAAGTCGTCTAGACGAACAAATCGTCTAGACGAACAAATCGTCTCAAAATCGTCTTTTAGTCGGACAAATCACCAGATGTGAAAACGTGTCGGACAAAATTTTATACGAACAAGTCGTCTGAATTTGTTCGACTCTGCTTGTCCGTCTGTCAAGACGATTTTTGAGAGACGATTTGTTCGTCTAGACGACTTGTCCGTCTCTAATGTGAATAGGGCTAATTTGCATGGTTGTAATAGATGTTTACATGAACCGGGGCGAAAATAACTCAGCCCGGTCTCAAGTCATTAAGCCTGCTGGACCAATCCGGCTTACCTCTTTCATGTCGCCAAAATAAAGATTGCCTTCTGTAAAATCTTTTCCAATGCAGACATTTAAAGTCACTTCAGCATTATCATAATGATAGCCCAGGTGAAGGTCATCTCCCATCTTGTATTTTACTGTGAACGCTTTGTACGAATCCAGGGTACATCCACCATCTTTGGGAAACATAAGACTGCTTAAAGGCTTCACATATTGCTTCAATAATGGATCCAGCAAATTTTCATCAAAACCAAGTTCATCTAAAAGTATCTGAGAAAACAATTGTCAGTGAACCATTAATCATTATTGCATTGCATTGCCTTGGATTACACAGGTAAAAACGCACAAGTTTGTAAACAGGTCTGCAGACAAGTTAAATCTGTTGACAAACTGTTGACAAGTTGTGTTCGCACAGCTTGTTCCCAGTTGTTGTAACAAGTTTGGAACAAGCTGTTCACAACTTGGATCAAGCTTAATGGCATTACCAGACTTGTTACAAGGTTGTTCTACCAAGTCTGATACATACAGTCATGTATCAGACTAATGGTTAGATCCATATACAGTCATGAAAGTGTCTAGCATCAGACAAAGTAACATATGACTATATATCGCTTAATAATGAATCAGTTCCGGTTCCAGCCGGAAGTTCCGGCCAGAACATTTTTCAGTTTCGGCCGGAACTTAAAAAATTGGTCCAGGTGCACCCCTAATTACATTTCAAACTTACTCCATAATTATTCATTGTGTTTGGCCTTCCTTTAGGCAGATTTGATTCGTTAAAATGATCAAGCTCCCCAACAAAGTTTCGACAAAATTCTCGCGTGAAAACAGGAAAGATGTAAAGCTGGTGCACTAAAATTTGATAAAAAATATCGTTTGTTTGAATGAAACCATTCTGCTCGCGTCAGCTGTTTCATACATTGGTTTCATATGATCATATCCATTTTTTAACCAGGGCGTCTATATATTCTGATAGACGGCCTGTTTTTAACTGTATCCATGGTCCCATATAATTTCTGTTTCAGATAAGAGGGTCTAGATGGGGGGGGGGGGGGGGGGGGGGGG